GTGTGTGTGTGTGTGTGTGTGTGTGTGTGTGTGTGTGTGTGTGTGTGAGTGTGTGCTCACCGGTCAATGCTGAGGGCACACAGGCTGAGGACTGTGATTCCAACTGAGGCTTTCTGGATGAATGGCATCAGCTTACAGACATACACGCCAAATGGCCAGTCCTCGGCTATTAGCTGCAGCAAAGAATAACAGAGAGAAAAGAGACATGCAATGAGAGAAATTTGAGTGTCACCTGTGCAAACACACAGACAGAGCGCTTTGAGGTTCATTTGGAGGTCTTTTCTTCCTCATATCTTCCAAAATGAATTTAGCTAAAGCCAAAACCTACAGTGTTAGGGGCTCCTCCTCATTGCTGTCCTTCTCCCAAGGGGAGCAAATTCTGTGCAGGGTCAGGGCAGAGCATGTAATAACAGCTAAGGCTAAACATTTTATTACCACGGGTGTTTTATAATTCATGGCTCCTTAAATCAATTTGAAACACATCCTGATAGTATCTTTATGTTAAACATTACGGTTAGAGTTACTTCTTTAGCAAAGAAAACAAGATTCGGGGTGACAGGGCTTCGCGTTTCTCAGGAGAAACCGCATTCCAGCTTCATTAGATCAAAGGAAAACGGTATCAGATCTGGAAATTAAAGCGAGTTCAGAAACTGTTTTCTGTGTAGTTGCGATTCCATGATGATCAGTCGTCTACACCTATAACCAAGCACATGGGCACACACACACTTCTCCTATAATCCCCACATGTCAGTTGCAACTGTTAAAAGCTTGGAAAACATTTGGCTCAAATTTGCTTTTACAGATGCTTCGTAGGTTTGTCTGTGGGATCCTTTGTTGTTTGTGTGAAAGTCTGTAACAGTGTATATTTAGTCACTTAGAAAGAGAAACCACAGCAATAAACTTGTAAAAGGAACAACAGCAAACCACGAGCGTGCCAAAATAAACAAAATGCCTTTCAGCTGCCTGTCCTGTAATTGTGAAAAAGTGTCAAAGGGCAAGAGTAAATCTCTTTGAATTACGGTGAACAAAAAATCTACATTGTCTCAGGGCTGTTTAGCGAAGAACTTAAAGTGAAAAAGTGCCTAAACTCTCAGACGACGACATTTTGTCAAGTGCAAAACCTTCACTTTTTCATTTTAAGTGGAGCACATGAGACATTTAATCTGCATTAATGTTCATCATCAGCTATTCTTTTGTTTCCCCATCACATCTAACAGACATGAGCCATTTCAGACGATGCAGAAGACCTGGTTACCTTGTACACATTGATGGGGATGGCAATGATGATGTACAGCAGGTCCCCCAGAGCCAGGCTGCCAATCAAGACGTTGGGTCCGTTCCTCATGCACTTGTTCCTGTATATGATCCTGAGCAGCGTCGAGTTGCCGATGATCCCTATCACAAAGATCAGGCAGGAAATGATGGTGTTCACATATTTGAAGGCGCGCTTGATCTCCGTGGGCTTTATGCACATGGGAGGGAAGGAGCTCCGCGGCCTGCCCGGCTGAGGGGGGGGGATCTGGATCGAGGCGTTGTTTCTGGGGGGCTCCAGAGGTTCGGGCGCCCCCTGGGAATCGCGGACCAGCCTGGAGGCTCCCACCTCCGTGGCCACGAAGAGGCACAGGAACACGAGGGCCCTCATCTTCACGCGAGCCTCGAACTCGAGAAGTAAAAGGAGTTCACGCCCAAGGCCTCACTGTACTATGACAATGCACTGGACCTTTCGCTGGAGCCTGCGAAGCAAGGAGTTTGTCCAGACTGGGTTTTCCTGTGGGGACAACAAACAACAAAATAAAGAAACAAGCTTTCTGAGATGCAGCAGGATGATAGAATTGACGTGAAGATCTAGTCTACGTGTTGATGTGTTGGCTGCCTCTCTCTGCTCCCTCTGTCCTTCTCTCGCCCTCTCTCTCTTGCCCTCTCTTTCCCTCACCCCCAACCGGCCGAGGCAGATGGCCGCCCACCCTGAGCCATGGTTCTGCTCGAGGTTTCTGCCTGTTAAAAGGAAGTTTTTCCTTGCCTGTGTCGCCTAGTGCTTGCTCATGGTGGGAAATTGTTGGGTTTCTGTAATTAACTTCGGAGTAGGGTCTGACCTGCTCTGTTTGGAAAGCGCTGTGAGACAACTGTTGTTGTGATGTGGCGCTATATAAATAAAATTGAATTGAATTGAATTGAATTGAAGTGATACTCATAGTCCCCAGAGGATGAATCCTTGTGCATCAATAGCAGTCAAAATGCTTTACTTTATTAAGTGAAACAAAGGCAAAAATGTGAAGTTTGTTCACTAATAACAGGGTTGATAAGAATCAGAGAGGCTTCCGCTGTTCACCAATTTGTTGCCAAAGAAGAAATCTATTCAGTAGTGACAGATGAGTCCGTCACCTGAAACTGATCCGTCTCTCTGCCCCTGCTGACACCTGGCCCTAAACATGTGTCCGAGCTGATCCGATCACAAGGGGGGAGCCTAAAGTAGGTCATTTCGCACCTGGCGCCAGAATGCATCTCCACATGAGTCTTTAGAGCGCTTGTGATCCCCTTTCGCTCCCCCACCCCATGTGCAAATAAACAACAATGCATCATTTCCTTTTGGCAAAGTCCATCATCGTGTATCTTTCAACTGGTCGAAAGCAGAAATAATCTCTTTTGTAAAGCATCAGCTTTCTAATTTTTTTAAATGTATTTTCTTATCTACTCCTAATATAAAGCATTTTGATGGTCTGGGCTCTGAAAGGAAAATTTTCATGGCAGCAAAAGTATATTTATTACAAGGATAATATGCTGAAACGACAGCTGTTGCATGGGATAGGGGAGGAGACATAAATGGGAAAGATTTGATATGAAAAGTGAGTTTTAATGACTCTGCGCGGAAGATCTTTTGCAGCTGTATGGTCCCTTCTGCCTCTTTTAAATAATTTGAATGTTATCTGTTGCATGCTAATCTGACAGCTTTACCGAGATGGCCGAGCAGGACTTTCATAAATGGAAAAAGACATCTTTTCAGCCTTATAGTTCTAGATGATACTTGTTCTCAAAGTCATCCGCTTTGAATCAGACTCAACAAGAGTGCTGTTAATAATGACTGATTTAGGCATTTAACAAAAGAACTGGACAACAAACGGATACATTCAACAAGTTAACCAGTATTTTTAAAAAATATTTTCTAATGATAGCACCCCAAATTTGATCAGGCTGATATGTATTGCTCCTTGCCTTTAATTTCTTGATATCCATGTTAAACATGGGGTCTAATCACAGGTTGCCAAGGAAGAACTCAGAAGTGATGGTTCCTGCAATCCAAAAGGGAGCTAATTCATCTCTAGTCAACAGGTGTTAATGCACATTTTGCTTTAATGGCAAACAGTAGTCTAAAACTTGATGAATAGATCGGCACGTGCGCACAAAGTGTTGCAGCAGAAGGAACATTTTTCAATTATGAAACGAGACCTAAAAACAAAGGAGGGCAGGGGGGGGGGAGGCCAGAACCGAGCGGGACAAATGGACCAGTGATAACTGAGGTAAACGAATAACAGTATTTCTATGTGTGGGTGTGTGTGCGCCCTGGGTGTGTGAGACAGAGATTCTTTCTCTGTTGGACAGAGCTTGTCTCTGAGCCTCTTCAGTATCATGTGTATCACAAAAAAAGGCCCGGGGCATCTTCAAGATAAATGGGCTGATTGACGAGGATGGCAACGTCTCTAAAGCAGAAACACACGATCAGAGAGCACGTTCACACACACACATACGAACACAGACACACACGGACACGCGCACACACACGGCATCTGTGAGGGGAAGTGCAAACCTCTTGATTTGAAGGAAGAGGTTTGTGGACAAACACTTGGGCTAACTTTGAACGTTCCCATTAAAGAATACGCTGGCGTTTACACTTTCCATGTACACACATGCAGAAAAGCACATGGATGGGCACACACACGCAAATACGTGCACACACTTCACAAGAAATGAGTTTGGAAAAATTTGGCTTTCGTCCATCCATATCATGTGAATGAAGCTCTTGTGTTTTATAACATGACAGCTCATTAACTTCTGTAAGAGAAGACATTTTCTAATTGGGCTGATCCTCTTAATCTACGAGATTTTGCTCTCAGAACCATCTCTGACCTTCAGCTCGGCCATATCTGCTTATCAGAGGAAGGAGGAGGAGTAAGCCAGGCCAGCCCCGCGGGGAGACGCTTAAGCTTTCGGATCAAGGTGAGAGGAGGAGATGAAAATGTGTGGAGAGAAAAAAAACTCTCACAAAAAAGACCCCAAACACCCGCAGAAAGGACGAAACAAAAGGCCGAGATTGGGAAAAACTTGACCCGCTGCTCTTTCTTAGAAGAACAATAAGCGAAGGAATGCACAGGAAAGGCAGAGTCAAGAGGAAAGGCAGAGAGCTGAGGTTCAACGCCTGAGAGGGAAGGAGTCACGAGCGTGACCTGAAGGAAGGGGACGGTGGGAGGGAAGGTCCCCATCAGCGGATGACTACGGAGCCGTTTTGAACCATCAGATGAAATATTCAGACCAATTTGCACTAAACAAACATCTTTGTTTTTTTTTCTTTGTCTTTGTCTTTTTTTTTTAAAGATTCAAAATTGTCTGGACTCCTTCCTGTGACTGAAGGGGAGCAGTTCATCAACTCAAGCTTTTTGCTGGTGTAATCAAAGCGCTAATATTGCAGATTTCTGATCAAAAACACCAGTCTTCATGAGTTAAAAACGCCACTGCAGATGTTCAAAAACTCTCTGTACACACACACATGTCAGTGTTGCTTTTGAATGAATTTAACATAGCCTATAATATATTAAAGATAAACTAAAGTTAACATTCTGTAAATCAATTTTATCAAAGTTAAGTGGAAACTAATCAGATAGATAGATAGATAGATAGATAGATAGATAGATAGATAGATAGA